TTTTTTTTACCAAGTTACCAAAGTCCAAAAAGGTGTGATGCCTTTGCAGCCCCTCTGACTCAGTACTTTGTTGCACCTCCTTTTCCTGTTATTTCAGCTGCTTTTGAGGGTTTCAGTTCTATCTAGCTCTGCACAGCTGTGTACATCTAAACACAAACATTTGAATCCTTTCTTCTTTCAAAATTAACTTCTGTTCTGTCAGATAAGACGGAGAGCATCCGTGAATAGCATCATTTTTAAGTCTTGTCACATAAATCTCAACTGAATTTACGTCTTTGCTCTGACTGGGCCTTTATAAACATTGAAATTTAGACTCGTAGTTCGATCAGTTTTCCCGCTGGATTTTCCTGCATACAGATCCATTAGTTTTTCCACTGACACAAAAGCATCCCCGCACCAAAATGCCACCACTATGACTGGCCATATTTTGCGTTCAGGGTGATGTAGAGTGTGAGCTTTCTCCTGGAAACGTTGGTACACATGATTTGTAAGTAGGTCAAATAGTTTAGCTGTTGCCTTATTTGACCGGAACACCACCTTCCACATGTTTGCTTTCTCTCCTAAATTATTTTAAGAAAAACCACACAGAACCTCATAAAACTTTCCATTTACTTCAGATTCAAGTAAATCAGTGGAAATAATTGCCCCGTATATTTGCTTGGATATCTACAGGTAATACAAAATCAATTGGTAGAACTGGATTTTATTTCAGAGTGTCAGTTTTCTAGGGGCTGGATAGAGATGCATGTCCCTCTTGAATATTTTTTGAAAGAAAGAAAAATTAAAGTTGTGTTTTGCTTTTTTTATCACATAAAAACCTTAATACGAGGCACTATATTTTCAAAATGTTATCAGAAGAATCATCGGCGTGTGAGATGTGACACATGCAAATGGGCTGTAAGCAAATTCATTTAGAGTCACACCACGCTACAATACAGTATGCAGTTTATTAACAGGAAGGAAGGACTGGTGTAGCAGTGTTGGTAAGCATCTGTAATGTCGGGGCAAAGTTTGAATATCACTGGAACATCTCCTCCAGTAGATGCTTGTATTTTAAGAGCTTGACATTAATCAGACGTAGTGAAACACACGGAAAACAACGATCCATATCAGGCCAAAAAATGTACATAGGATCATATATTAACACAGAAATTATGTTTCTTTGTTATTGTTGGGGGTTTTTTTCTCAGCATTCTTCTACTATATTAAAAATTTAGATAGTTTTATTTTAATTAAAATTTACGTTGTTTCCCCACCTACCTGCAGATCACCACCAATATTTTCCGGGCTCTTCCACCAAGTGACAATCCCGATTTCGATCCAGAGGAGGATGAACCCACCTTAGAAGCTGCATGGCCTCACATCCAAGTACGTTTTCTAAACTTTTATACTTACACTTGAGATTTTATGCTTTTGTTTCAGAGTGATTGCAGAGTGTTTTTATTTTATTTATGTATATGTGTATATATATATATATATATATATATATATATATATATATATATATATATATATAAATAAATGTTTTCCTGTTTTCCGTTTTCCTTTCTAGCTGGTCTACGAGTTTCTGCTGCGTTTCTTGGAGAATCCAGACTTTCAGCCCAGCATTGCAAAACGATATATTGATCAGAAATTTGTGCTGCAGGTAGGTGGATTTTTTTTTCCCAAAAATGTTTTGCATTACCAATTTGTTGCATTGTATAGATTTTGCGAATGTATCTCACAGTGTGGAAATCTAAATCAAGAAAGTTGGAGATTTCAAATGTGTCAAGTAGAGCAGACGCTATCGCCGCATTTCACCAGCCTACACTTCACTTTTTGTGGCTGAATCAGACAATCTGCTGCAACTCGTCTACATATGTCCACGCTCAGCACCCACCTACTTCAGGAATGCCTCACGTCTTGTAGCAGTTGCTAACAGGCATTATAAGGTTTGGAATGTCGGCCGAGCCACATCCGAGGTGCCTGGTTCGACTTTCCATGATGTGAGTGAGTCGTTTGTGAGCTTTAAATAGCTGCCTGTTGTTTACTCTTCAGGAGGAGAGAAGAAGAGTGTGGTCCAGCGCTGGCTGGCAATAAAAGCCAGTCAGAAAAGGCCTGATTAACTTCAATTATCATAAAACACAACTTTCCCAGTGAGATGTGCTGCAGCCATGAGAGCCAGAGATTCATAAGGAGACGAAAAAAACTGAGTAAAGATTTGGTGGCTTTCTTTGCGGCTCATTATGTCCGTTTTTCTGCTCCGCCACTTCATTGGTTTGTTTTGGTGATGCTGGATCAGAAAACAGCCGACATTCTGGAAAATAACCATATTTGAAGCTTATGCATGTTGTCGGGATGTATTTTAAACTTTTTTTTGTACAGAGCGTAGCTGTGCCTTTGTGTTGCCATGAGGAACCTCAATTTGTGGCTTACTATAATGAGGGTGTTTTGGGGGGTTTTTCCCCCCCTCCCAAGACGCTTGTATTCATTTAAAGTAAAACCCACATCTAGTGCACAGTGTATCATTACTTCATCATTTTACCAGTTGAGCTCTGACAAAAAACCTTCATTGCTCATGAATTTTGTCATGTAGATTAGTAGATTCTTCTGATGCCCAGTTAGTTTGGGCTTATGAGCCACTTGACATCTGTCTTTATTTTTAATTGGATAGCATTTCTATAGACTGGGTAAAATCTGTTCCATGAATATTAGAGAAGTGAAGAGTTTCTGATATATGATGATCCAGAGACTTGCAGCAATATATTTTGGGGTCTTTTTCCTGTTGTGAAACTTAATTTACAGTTTTGTAAATGTAGAAAAATACTTTCTTAACTCATGTTTGAGTCAGTAAAGGACTATAAAGCATATCTGCTGCTTTTCAGCTTTCTGCACAGCACCCTTTCTTCTTTTTTTCGGTTTGTAGTCAATTTCTCACTTTTAACCCATTTTGTTTCAAATCAGGTGTGTACAGTTGGTAAATTTCAGTTTTGGCTCCAAATGATTGAGGTAAATTTCAACAGAACAATTTAGGCACATTCTCAAACTTTGCTAGAACTCCTTTTGTTTAACTTGAGTAGTATACACCAAAGTAATTGTGATTAGAATATTTTGTCAGTAATTGAAGAGCTTTGTATTGGATCAGAACGTACATTAAATTCCATTAGATTGTTCTTTAGGGGTAAATCATTTCATATGTTTGCCTTTATGCACCTTTTTAAATTTTGAATTTTTAGCGGCGCCAAAATGCTGATATCCGCCTTCTACAATACATGCATAAAAGAATGATGTGCTTTTAGGAGCTCAGTTGATGCCACCTGTGCAAAAAGTCCAGTTGGAAAATTTCCTTTGCTAAATATTATACCGTCAACTCTTGGTGGGATTATAGCGAGCAATTGGGAGTGACAGCAACTTTACCGTAAAGTGCTTTTCTCATGTAAAATCTGAAATGTGGTCGCAAAACTTCTACAGAGTCAATAGATGTAGGACCTCCAGAATTTATTTGACTTTCAAATTAGCTCAGGAAAGTTGCGTGGAGAGTTTCATAGAAAAGGTTTGGGATGGCTGAGCAGCTGTATCCAACTCCAAGCATACATCACTAGGTTCAATGCAAAACATCAGATGCAGTGGTGTAGTGGAGACGTGGTCTCCTAAGAGGAAATCATGCCTTTATGTCTGGAAAACCAGCAGATGAGTATTTACCCGTCTGCTTCAAATATAAAGTTTGTTGCAGAGGGTTTTAGTGTGGGGCTGCTTTTCAGAAGTTGGGCTCATCCCTTTAGCTCTGTGGAAAGGTACTTAAGTGTGTTGCACAATTTCGCTCGCTCAACTTTGTTTGAATAGTTTAGGAATGGCCCACTCCTGTTCCAACATGACTACGCTCTAGTGCTCGAAGCAAAGTCTATAAACGCACAGGTGAGAGTTTGGTGTGGAAGGACACGATTGGTCGGCATAGAGTCCTGACCTCAGCATCATAAAATACCTTTGGCATTAACTGAAAGGGAAATTAAGAATTGGACCTTCCTCCCCAACATTAATGTCTGACCTCACAAATGCACTTCTGGAAAAATGTATAGCAATTCCCTTACAGTCTCCAAAAGCGTTCCCACAATTGTCAAACAAAGCTGGTGTAGCGACAAAGGATGGGTCAACATAAAGAAATGACCTCTGACTGTTCTATACAATATTGCAGATATACAACTTCTTAAAGAGATGAATATAAATACATGTTTAAAAGTCATCCGTAATTTTCTGCTGCCAAATAATAAAATTTCCCAGACTGCATAGCAAACGCATTTAAGGTAATGTTGAACAATAATGGAGATTGAAAATAAGAGAATGGAAAAATATTTGTAATTCCATACAACTAGACATTCGGATGTTCTCTGTTGCATTGTCTAAGAGTTGTCCTTCATTCCTGCCTTCCTTTCTCGTGTCCCTTCTTCCAGTTTTTTACTTTTACATTTTCCATATTTAGAGCCTGCCCGCGGCAGAAATATTTACCGTAAACATATGGTGAGCTTTACGACTGTGAGCTCTGGGACACCGAGTCCGGAAAAGTCTGAAATGTTTGTATAAAAGATGCGTAGTAGGCCTGTTTTAAAGGCAGCATTTTGTTCTGTATTTATATCGAGGCTAGCTCACTTTTTAAATGATTATAGTACACTTAATCTGTAAAACAGTGCATTCTGTCTCTTTGAGTGATGTAATGAATATAGATTGATAAAAGTTTGATAATGGGCATGTGTAGTGAGATGATGATTAGACACTTTTTTTATTGAAGTCTGCCTGCATCCATAGTCCAAATCAATTTATTTATAACCACAGATCAATATCTAGGGACATAACTTTCCCTCAACTCAGTGCATTAATGTTCCTCTTTTTGCCATATTTAAGTATTTCCCAGCTGATAATGTTCTACTTCATCATTCTGAAATAATGAGAATACGATGCTCAATCGTTTAACGATCTGGCTGACCTTCAACTAATGGTTCAACAAGTGGGTCGTCTTCTTGGAACCTGCTGCAGATTAGGATGTTCTAGCAGTTTCTGCATCCCAAAAAAGGATACCTTTGTTTTAGACAGTTTATTGAAACACAATAAATTTCAGAATTTATACGACCGGTGTTAAAAAGGACTGATTAAAAGCAGGTTGTTAACATGCCTGTGGTTTATTCAGTGTCATCCTGTTGGGATCAGTTGAGCCGTTGCAAACGAGTCAGATGAGCTTGCTCTTTAACTTCAGTCACTTTGTCAAGTTGCACCAGAATGATACTTAAAATATTTTCAGTTTTAACTATTTTTTTTTTTTAATTAAATGGGTTTTTATCTTACCGGAAAGAATGAAAGAGGGTGATAAAATGAAGAGCTCAGCCTTTAATTTGACTTTGTCCACCCAGTGTCAACGGGAGCCTGAGGTTTTAGACTGAAATAGAAAGCTGCTCTCATATTAGAAAGTCATTTGAGTGACAATTTAAGTCATAATTAACAATGACATTGTGCAGTAATGAAAGCATCTTAGATCTCATATGTTTTTTTTCATAAGCAGTTCTGTGCATTTGTTGCATGATGACTTTGCTGAGAGCTAACGTCCTGGCGTGACCTTTTGTGATTGAATATTGATGATTTCCCCCTCAGGCGAAACCAGCAGCCCCTCATTACACTGTGGCTGTGTTCATTTCATAATAAACACAGACCCAATGGCCACATCCCATTTAAATATTATTGATCAACTTCAGTGTTGATTGAGTGCTTATGTAACTCTTGAAAGCCTGCTGCAAGTGAATAACCAGAGCTGCTGGAATTTATGATGCACATATCAATCAATCTGTTGTTTAGCTATACCACATTGTTAAATGTGCTTTTATCACAAAAGAAATCCAAATAATGCTTAATGTTTACCTGACCATCACAAGTAGAATGAAATGACTTAACGTACATCATCACAATAGCACTGTACACTATTTATCTAACTGTAGCCAAATTAGTTCAAAATAATGCAACGAAGGTCCGAATTTTTCCAGATATATATACTTTTTATTTATTTATTCAAAACACGTCCAAGCCAATATTGCAAGGCTCACACATTTAACTAGTTATCTAGTTTACAACTTGCAGGCTTGTAATTTTGTATTTTTAGAAAGATTGTCAATAACACCAAATGTATTACGTCACTCACCACCTGATTGAAACTTTTTACTTTTATGTAACTCAATTTCAGTGTAATTACATCTGTTCTTTGAAGATCCAGAGATCCTATGGTCTGAAAACATTTGGAATTTAATTTCATTTATTTCTGGGTCTGAAAAAGGATAAAGAAAATGGAGTATGACAAAATATTATTTCTAGACTTTTTTCAATTCATTCATGATTTCATTTGTAAGATTCATTCACAAATCCATGTCTGTCCATCACTCCATGTATTGTGATGTTACACAACCTGACCTGTGGACATTTCTGAAATTCATAGTGATTTTTAATTTTTTTATTACCTAAATAAAGCCCTCAAAGGTCTCCGCTTTCAGAGAGCATTAGCAAATAAGCAACACACCAGACAGGTCAGGGATGAGGTATAAGGAGACGTTCAAAGCAGGGGAAAGTGTTTTACACAACTGTAGCAAGACACATTCTCCACCTGATCTGACAGGCAAGCAGAAAATGAACCACAGAAACGGTGAAGAGGCCAGTGGTAAATCTGCAGGAGCTGACAGGACAATCACATGCAAATCGCCCCAAACTCACTAGGTCAATGAAGTACCAAAGGTCTGCCCTCTCACTAGGTCCTCTCTGAAACATGGTGGCAGCATCATGATCTGGCGATGCCTAAAGTGGTGCTTAATTTTGACAGCACATATTTTATGGAGAAGTTTCCGCTGGTTCCGTTCGGCTCTGAATGCATCGTTTCTAAAAACTCGTCCAACATTGGCTGCAAACTTCACCAGCTTTTAAATGAGTGCATGTATGGTTATAAAATGATGCTTAAAATTTCCTGTGGAGTAAGAAGTAATAACACGAAAACAGTTGCATCCTTGTGCAAAATCTACAGACGCAATACTCTGTTGCAACAGTTAGACTGCTTGCACCATTGAATGACACAGAACAGCTGAATGCATTTAAACAAGCAGGGGAAAAAAACGTGCACAAGCATGATGAAGTCTTGTCCTTGGCAGTAAACTGGGATAGAAACGAGCTGTCTGCCCTCTCACCAAGGTGACAGTAAAACACGAGCAGAAGACGAGCACAAAACCCACAAAGACTACTTTTTTTTTTTTTTGTGGCTTTGGCTTTGCTTTCCTCAAACTGAATTGTAATGATGACTCATCACATGTCTGTAAATAGCTGCTTAATTCTGGGGGCTTGAAGGCTGTTTACATTATTGAGCGCTCAGGCACATGTACTGTGTGCACAGGAAGTAAAGTGCGAGTTTCCAGTAAAACAGAGCTTGATTATTCATACTTTGGAAACAGTCACCACTTGGCTGCATCACAGTTGGTAATATAAGAGATTTTTAGGATATTTGGGACTTAAGCGAGATGACGTGGTCTTAACACCACCAAGAACTGTTATTATATGAGCTACACGTGTAGTGAAGGGAGTGTATTTGAGTCATAAAGGACAGAAATGACGATTACATAAAATGTAATGCCTGTTTTTAGTTCACCAGATGATGGAGGATGTTTCTGTTGGCTTCTCAAACAAAATGAAGGATTTCCTTAAAAACAAAACTCAAATAGATTACCTTTTTTTTCCCTGACATTTGCTAATAAGTCAATACATTTCTGATAAGATGATTCTTCTTTCGTCTTCGTTCTGCAGCTGCTGGAGCTGTTTGATAGCGAGGACCCGAGGGAGCGGGACTTCCTGAAGACTATTCTCCATCGGATTTACGGAAAATTCCTGGGCTTGAGAGCCTTCATCAGGAAGCAGATCAACAACATCTTCTTGAAGTGAGTTAACTATTATTAGGGAAGCATGTCTTTCGCTGATAAATGCTGCATAGAAACATGGACTTTCTTTTAATCCATTTGTGTGGAATATATTCCAGAGAATAAAAGTTTTATCATTTGTCAAATGATAATTGCAAAAGGGAAAAGTTATTTTAAAAATGTCTGCTAAATCTCTGACTTTACCCAGAAAGTCTTTCGTTTCTTTTAATCCAGGTGTAGTTTGCAGCAATGAGCATAACTCATTAATTTTCACCCAACAGCTCAGATTCCCTCCTAATTACTAAGGAGACTCGAAGCTGTGAGTGAGAAGCATCACTTATTCTTCCCAGCAGTTCTCTGCGGCTTTATTGCTGCTGTTGCTGTGTGACGATGAGCTTTGGATGATTGAGGCAGGGAACGCTTGATGTCGTTTCCAACAGGCGAGGTGGCAAAACGGGTGGCCCCGACGTTGGCCATCTGCCACGGAGGATAAAAATAGGGCCACAGTTGTCAGGCTCTGTACATAGCAGACAGATGGAAATGCTTTATCAAACAGGTGAAGGTGAATTATGTATAGCTCATTGATCATTTTTGTTTGTTTGTTTGTGGTGCTGACACCTGATTCGGATTTGCTTTTTCATATGGATATTACTGTGCAAAAGTTTTGAGCTGGCCCTCGTTTCCTAATATTTCCCTCCCAAGGATACAGATATTGCTATAATTTTTTAAAGTAGCGTCGATAGTTTTCAATTTTTATTTTATTATTTTTTTTTTTTACTACAGCTGCTATTTTAGCCATTTTCAATCTAATGTAAGAATCATTTAAATATATTTGAGCAAAATAGAGATTTAAATTGGATCTTTGTGCACAGTTTTTGTTGTTGGATCACTACAGTACCAAAGATAACAGTTAGTCATAAAATTGCATTTTTGTCAGCAATTTGGTTCTTAAAAGTTGTCCTACAGTAGGATGCATCTCTTATTTCCCTTTGAAATAAAACCAGCTGTGTTTGAGACCTTTAGAAATTATTTTATCTATCGGTTTATTATTGTAGAGTAGGAGGGACTTCAGGTATGACGACGCTCCCAGTGCAGTTTGTTCAGAAAATAAGTCAAAATAGAGGACAATAGAAGGGCCTTTGTTGAAGTTGCAGTCTTTTCTTTTTCCTACGGTTTTCCTGTTCCTGAACCTGTTCATGTGTAATTAAATCTATAAATTCTTTGTTTCCATTGTACTTTTTTCTCTTGGTTTGGTTTCTTAAAACTTAAACAAAGCCTCTTTTCTGCTGCCTTAAATCCTCAAATAGTTTTAGTTTTTCTGAAGCTCACGTTGTTCATGTTTGTTTCATAAAATATATATTTCTTTAAGAAAGCCTAGAGTTTAGAGTTTTCACTTATTTATTCTGTATGTTAGTCATTTCAACAGTATTTTTAAATTCACCCAGATTTAAGTAATCTTATTAATCTGCTCCAGTTTTAAAGTTTTATGTTTTAATAATGTTATATTTTCTTTTCTTTTTTTTTTTTTTTTTTTTTTTTTCCCAGGTTCATTTATGAAACCGAACACTTTAATGGTGTGGCCGAACTGCTGGAGATCCTCGGAAGGTGAGGGAAGATTAAAATGAGAGGTTTTTGGGTTTTTCTTTGCCATAAATAAAACTGATTATGCTGATTTAAACTGTCTCTGTACATTGTGGTACATTTGATTGTGTCCTGATCTGGTTTGCAGGCATGAGCGGAATGAGATCAGTATTTCAGAGCATGCTGTTTGGAAAACAGCCGTTGTGCTGATGGGATTCCTTTGTGTTTTCTGTAATCTAGCGAGGTGTGTTTTTTGTTTACAGTATCATCAACGGTTTCGCGTTGCCTCTGAAAGCAGAGCACAAGCAGTTCCTGATGAAGGTGCTCATCCCGTTGCACACAGCTAAAGCATTGTCCCTTTTCCATGCACAGGTAGGAATAAAAAAAATTCTGATCTCTGTATTACAGCACCTTCTAGTGGCTTGGAAATGAAAATGCATGTTTATTTATTTTATTTTATTTTTCTGTTTTTCTGTACTTCAGCTGGCTTACTGTGTGGTTCAGTTCCTGGAGAAAGATCCCACGCTTACCGAGCCGGTACCGTTTTTATCCTTCCTCCCACTCAAAGCTCACTGCACTAGATTAGTCTGCTGCAGCAAATTATCTTATAGTGGTTACTAGAAACCGCCCACATGAACGAGCATAAAACAGAATTTCTGATGTCTCTATAGGTGATCCGCGGCCTGTTGAAGTTCTGGCCCAAAACCTGCAGCCAAAAAGAGGTATTCTTCGTCTCCTTGTGCAGTTTTCAGCTATTTCTGTCTCTTACATGGTGCTAATTTTTTGTAATTTTCACCTTCCCACTCAGGTGATGTTCCTGGGCGAAATAGAGGAGATCCTCGATGTCATCGAACCGTCGCAGTTTAAGAAGATCCAAGAGCCATTATTCAAGCAGATTGCTAAATGTGTGTCCAACCCACATTTTCAGGTAAGCTCAAAATACACAGATGTAAGGAAGGATCTTTTGTTTATTTAAATCAACTTGTTTTTAGTCAGATGGGATTCAAGTTACCAGCAGTGCTTGTTCGCAATATCTTCAGCCAACTTTCCTCAGACCTTTGTGCATATCACTAAATTAACTGAAGAGATGTGAAAAAATTTTTGCAGATTTGCATCAGTTTAGTTCCTTTTTTTTGAATGCTTCAAGTTTGATTTGTTTAGTTTATTTCAGGTCTAAACAAGTTTATTTCCAGACCTTTTAGACTAGAAGCAAATGTTTTCATTTCTACAAATTAGTTGCTTCAGTCTTTTCTGCAACACTGGTTAAACCATAGAGAAACATAGCCAGAAACAAGAGAGAATTTGCTTAGTAAATGTATTTTCTTTGTTTTAAAGATGCTTGTTTTTCATAAATGGTATCCTGTCAGAAAACCTGCCTAGTTATTAAAAAAAAGTCTCAAATTGTCTCAGTCAGTGCCAAACAGCCTTGCATTTATTTCCAGATGTAGTCTCACATGTTCTTGAAGAAGAACTTTTTTACCTGTAAGGATGACCAGAAAAACAGAAACTTGTAATTACTGAGCACAAAGTAGAGAAATTACCCTCAAATGTTGGTGAGGAGCGTAGCAAAGGTTTATTAGCTCTGTTGATGGCAGAAATAGGAAAACTTCTAAAGCTGTGGCCAACAGGGTCATTGGAGAAGGTGTGACAATGTTGGACTTTTTTTATTATTATTATTTCTTTAGGTCACAAATGACTTGTAGTGACATTTGTTGTAAATCTGTAATAGTGTTTTACTACATAAATGCACATTAAACTTTTTCCAGATTAAATTGAGTTTTTATGAACAGCTTTGGGAAAGTTGACCCGTTTTACATAAGCAGTCTCTGCTTACTTGAAGAAGGTGGAGCTGTTGGTGCCATTATTATTAATTGTTATAAATAAAAGGCTTGTGGATGATTTTAGCATTCACTATTTAGCTTCTCATAGATCAAATGTCTTTTATTGTTTGACCTTTCCTGACAAAAACTGGCTTTCAGCATTAGATGCTTCATTATGTGTCCAGTGTTGAGGATAAAAATGTTTTTGCTTTCTAATTAAACTCAGACCTTTAATAAAGAGGAGACTAATGGATTCAAAAGCTTTCCTTTAGCAGTTTTTAAGGTCGTGAGCTTTGATTTGCTGATATTTGAAACTCATTTTATATATAAAAAAAGAATAATTTGACTCAATGGACCAACAAGTAACAGGCATTATGTTTATGCAGCATTTTCTTTCTTCCATCCGTGTTGCATCTTCATCTCCATCTTTACCTAAAACTGCTTCTGTTTGATTTCCTTCAAAGTAGTTTTGTTTTTTCTGAACTTCCCTCTGTGTGTTCTGACAGGTAGCAGAGCGGGCACTGTACTTCTGGAACAACGAGTACATCCTGAGCCTCATTGAGGAGAACATCGATAAGATCCTTCCCATCATGTTCAGCAGCTTGTACAAAATCTCTAAAGAGCACTGGAACCAGTATGTACCGTCACTGTAGGAGGAGCAAAAATAATCTTAAGAAGGGCAGGGACTGTGTAAATAACTAGCTTATGTAAATAAAATAAAAGAAATTGAAATTTTTATTTTAACTTAATTTTGAGTAACCGTAAAGATGAGCTTTCATGCGCATAAACCTTGTGCGGTCTGTTTTTAAATCTGTGTTTATATGCATACAGTTTACACAGACAGATGGCACCATTATGTTCGTCACAGATAATTTAGCACAAGTTTCTGTTTTCTTCATACACTTTCTGCCTTTCAGAAAAATAATAGAGGCATGTTTGAATGTGTATACATACACTTATGTACATCATGTCCTTAAGAAAATATTGTCTCTTTGGTCAATTGCTCTTGTTGTGTAATAATTCCAAGACTAAAAAAAATTATTTTAAGATGCAATTATATCAATTTAATTGTTTTCTCTTTATTTTTTTTTTTCCATCATCCGTGTTGACTAGATTAACTTGAAAAGGACTGGCTGAGTGAATATAGGCAGCAAAAGTCCAAAGAAATACTTAAATACTTTAAAGGCTAATATAATAATAAAATCCATCTTAAAAGTTAAATCCAGTTTAAAAATCTGAAACGTTTACTTTGGTTTACACAAGAATATGGGAGAGGATTAAAAAGTTGTAAAATTGTAAAAACCACCAGCATGTGATGTTTGTGAACCGTCTTCTTGAAGCTCTTGCTTGTTTTTCTGTTTCAGGACAATCGTGGCTTTGATCTACAACGTCCTGAAGACGCTGATGGAGATGAACTGCCCTCTGTTTGACGAACTGACGGCTTCCTATAAAACACAAAAGCAGCAGTAAGCAGCATTACCCCCAACATCAAATAGTGACAGTTTTCAGCAAAAAGCACACTTCTAATGGAAAATTCAAATTTAAGCTTGATTTTTAGTTTTTAAATTTACTTTCTGTAGAGCTGGGGTGTGCAAACATTTTGACACGTGGGCCAAATTCGTCAGCTCAAAAGTACTCCTTTTTAAAGACTAAGATCACCAATTTTTTTGTTCCTACTCAACAACAAGGCTGTAGCGATACACTAATCTCACAATACAATATGATGCAGGACTCTGCTCACAATATGATCTATATCACGATATTCAGTAAACGATATGATTTGTACAATTTTCTGAAAGATTTTAGAGGGACAGTGTGATTTTGCTGACATTTTGTGACCGTTTCATAGATTTGGGTTGAATTAATTGAACTGATGGTGTAATAACTGCTGTTTTTGTTATGCATTTGTTATACATTTGCTTAGCTTAAATGTTAATTGTGTGGCTTTGTGTATTTGGTTATCCAGAAAAAGAACTTCTTGTTTTTTTTTATTTATTTATCTATTTTGTTTTATTATTTAGTTAATTGTAACTGTTTCATTGCATGTCATTTTTAATGCACATGTGCAACTGGGTACAAAATGTCATGTGTGATAGCTGTCATTTAATTCTTGTGGATTTGACATACACTCAAAATAAAAGGAGGATTTAATGTATCGATACTCGTGGATGAAAAATCAATACTATCTGAGGAAAAAAAATATCGACAAATATTGTAGCCGTCAGCTGGCCTGGCTGAAAGTGAGGAGTGGGGAAATACCTTTACTATATTTACTTCAGACAAGGATGCAGTTAACGATTCGCTGGTAGGATGTCCAAACTATTTCCTCAGAATTCGTGTTTTGAATAGTTTGTGCAAAGATTACAAGCTTAATTAAATAAATCCATCTCAGAGGTAAATTTTAAAAAAAAAAAAAGGAAAAATAGGCATAAATATTTCAGCATTGTGTATTGAGTTGGTTGTCTGAATATACATCGATTTGTTTTTCCAGAGAGATGATGAAGGAGCAGGAGCGGGACGAGCTGTGGAAGAAACTGGAGGAGCTGCAGATCAGCCGCACCTCCGAGGTCCAGAACAACAGCCACGGGTTGCCTGCAGCCCTTAACAACAGTAACAACAACAACAACAACAACAACAATAATGAACCCCAGGAGAGCAGTGGCAATGTTGAAGCTACTGCCGTCATCATGGAAGACCTCCATCAAGACGCTACCGACACAGCCTGCGAGAGCGTCTCGTTTGCCAAATGACAGCGGATGGCAGCTTTTTATTCTGAAGCGCTTCAACTTTCAGGACCGTTGGAGGAGGATTAACAAGGATGTAACACAAATTACACCTCAGCAGTATAATAAATCTTAGTTCTACAAAGAACACCAGCAGTTCTTTGTATATATAAATATATATATATATATATATATATATATATATTTCCTCCT